CTTTTTATTTAACTTCTTTTGGACTGAAGCAATGCAACACCCGCTGACTGCAATGATAGAGCTTGAAAGATTAAAGACAATTTTTAATATTTCTCCGACTGGATTCGTCTGAAAGAAGAAAGTCATATACACCTAGGGTGCCTTGGGGGTGAGTAAAACGCAGCTTAATTTTCATTTTTGGGTGAACTAACCCTTTAAGCTCTTTTAACACACACACTCACACACACTGTCCACTCTCGGATTGTACTCGTGCTTGTCTCTGCCCCCTTCAGCTCTGCTCTGTGTGTGTGTGTGTGTGTGTGTGTGCTGTATGTGTGTGAGTAGGTCAATGTAAGTGCCTTATGCTGTACAGTATGTGTGTGAGCTGCTGTGCAGTGGCAGGGGGTAGTAGGAAATTGAGGAAAGCTTGTGTGTAGTGGATGGAGAGAGTCACTGTGTGTGTGTGCTATTTTATTGTAGGCGGGGAGGAACTGTGTGAGTGTGTATGAGTCAGTCTAAATTCTACCCTCCCGCTGGGCCTCTTTTTTTCTTCATGCACTTTAATGGATTCAGATGGAGCCGACAGAACAGATAATTTTACACGTATTGCATGAAACTGTCAGATTGATCGGTTAAATTAGAACAAACCTTTAGTCTGAATTTAGAGTGAATCTCTTTAATCCTACGTTGGGGCGCTTTTGGGTCTTTATCAGTTAAGTGGTGATTGTGACATTGTGCTAGTCATTTATGAACCAAAAATGGGCTGTGAATCATGAAGATGGGACATATATGTTGATTTTAGTGAATAAAGCATTAGATTGCAGACTTAAGTACTGATGTCTAATGATTCCCATCGATTATGATAGTTCAGAAGCGAGAAATCTCATTGACTATATTTTTTATTGCTGGATTACACATAATAACCTGCTCTGCTGGGAAATACACTGTATAAAGAGAAATGTTCAGTATCAAGTAAAGATACAGGCTCATAAAATATTCTCTGTTAAGCCTGAATTAGCCTGACATATCTTCTCAGATCTTTTCCCAGTGAGATTGTTTGGAAGCCTATTTCAACCCTTGAGTAAAAATGAAACAGATAATTTTGAGAAATAAAATCAGAGGGAGAGATACAGTATATAGACACATTGTGATATAAAATTGCAATTATGAGACGTTACAATTACAGTAAATAATGTCACATTGTGAAGTATAATTCACAATTGCGATATGTAGTCAAAATTACAGTACATTAAATGAAGTTGCAGTTTCGAAAAATAAAGTCACAGTTATAAAAAATAGAGTCAATTATGAATAATAAAGTCACAATTTGGAAATATATAGTTACATTGCAAAATATAAAGTCACAATTAGGCTGAAAGCACAATTGTGAAATATAAAGTGATTTTGTGAAATATAAAGTTCTAATTAACAGAAATAAATTCAAAATGACAAGATATAAAGTTGCAATTACAAAAAAGAAGTCAGAATTTGTAGATATAAAATCACATTGTGAAATATAAAGTTACAATTACAATAAAGAAATAAAGTTGCAATTGTGAAATATACAGTGACATTGTGAACTATAAAGACACAATTACAAGAAATAAAGAAGATATAAAGTCACAGTTGTAAAAAATAGTCACAATTCGGAGATATAAAATCACATTGTGCAATATAAAGTCACAATTATGCTAAGTAAAGTGACGTTTGTGAAATATAAAATCACATTGTGTTATAATGTTACAATTACAATAAATAAAGTCACAATATGGAGATATAAAGTCACACTGTAAAAATATAGTCACAACTATGCTAAATAAAGTCACAATTGTGAAATATACAGGGAAATTGTGAGATATAAAGTCACAACAATACAAAAATATGTTCACAGTTTGAAGATATAAAGTCACATTGTGCAATATGAAGTTACAGTTATGCCAAATAAAGTCGCATTTGTGAAACATAAAATCACATTGTAAAATATTAAGTCACAATTATGCTAAATAAAGTCATAATTACGATATATAAAGTGACAATAGTCTCAATTTGGAGATATAAAGTCACACTGTGTGTAAAGTCACAATTATGCTAAATAAAGTAAAATTATAATAATATAATTTTTAGGGCTACCCCCTAATAGTCGGCTAATCATTTGTAGACCAGAAGAGGCTTGGTCGACCAAAATTTAATTAGTCGCAGAAAAAAAAAAAATCCACAGGCGAAGTCTGTTACTAACAGCTCGTTACCGGCTAGTCTATGTGGTAATACAGCACATCTATGGGCAGGACATCCAAACGCTCGACTATCATTCATCGACCTCTCAAATATGGCTTATCATCTGAAATATGTAAGTATTAGCAACTTTACATGGCCGCTCAATCTAATAACCTAGAGAAATGTGCGCTATTCTAGTGTGAGGAAGCTGAACAGTAGCGCTCACTGCAGTACAGATGGAGGCGCCGGTGCCCTCACTTACTCCTAAAATACTCCGTCATTTTTGGTCATACAGATAAGAGTAATACATCTCCACGTTTATTTGTGTGCACTCACAATACCGCACTTTTGTAAAATAATGAAAGCAAGCAGGATGCGCTTTCTGCCGTCTCGATCTCGAGCGCGAAACTCCGTGTATATCTTTGCCTTACATACATTAAAAATATATCTATAGAGAGTGAAATGTCTATTTTCAAATGAACCAATTCAAATGGAAAACAAATATTCTTAGATTATGTAATCTGTATGAAACATGCATACAGGCGCGTCCACTACTGCGGAGATGACGAGTCAGTGTCGCCGACTTCATCTCTTAATCCGAAAACAAAGAAAGCACTAG